CGGGGAAACTTTCTTTTACCATGGCTGCAGGCGGCGCCTTCACTTCCGGTGCCGAAGAAGCCTCCAGAGCTGCGCCCCCCCACCCCCCGTCAGTCAGACGACCACAGCCTCCAAGCGACCTTTTCGACAGCTCTGCGACTCCTCTGAACTTCACGACGCGCTGTACTGGAGCGAACTAGGGGTGGGTTCCGCACTAAGACTGATCTACCGGACAACGACTCCGCTTCCTTCACGCCAGAAACATAAAATGCGATAGAGCTGCAGCCACCGCTACCGGGACAAAATGGCGCCGAGAAGTCGCGTTAGCGCAGGCGCCTTGGAAAGACTCTGCCCCGCCCCCTTATAAGCCCCTGGCCGCGGTTCTGGGTTCCGTCTCCATGGGACACTCCACGGCCAATCTTAGTGCTGGAATACTCTTCCTGACCCGTCAGTGCACCAATCAGTGCTCAGTCGAGTACATCCGGAGTCGTCTCTACCAATGATGTCTCAGGACTTGCTTACTCAATCTCTGATTCTCCAATAACGTTACTGTTCGGACACAGCCAATCATAAGTGGAAGATGTCCTACCTGCTGTTTTTTGCACCAATCCGTGAAGTTTGAGAGCTACATCCAATGAGAACGGCAGGGAGTGAGCTCCAATCGGAAGCGCTTGGGCGTCATGAGGAGCCAATGGTAGTTCGTGTAGAAGCGAGTCTGCTCAACAGCTTGTTATTTGGTGGATTGTGGCAGTAAATCGGGGCGAGTGGGGAACCCGGTGCTGGAACTGCTGCCGCGGCCGGGAGCTGGGCTGCCGGGACGGGGGGCCTCGGCGGCCCGAGAGGCGGAGGACGCGAGGGCTGACAGCGCGCACCTCGCCCGCAGCCGGTAGGAGGGGAGAGGGCAGGCGGGCGGTCCTGAATGGGCGAGGCGGCTGCAGCAGCTGCTCCTGCGCCCGGGGTCCCGGTGTAGTTGGGGCTCGCCGGCGGAGAGCGGGCTGCAGGGTGCGTGGGGACGGGCGGGCAAGAGCCGCGGCAGCGGCCGCTCCCGGCCCGGAAGATGGTTGTGGGGCTGGCCGCGCCGCCAAGTTTGCTTCAGCATGGGGATCCTGCGCCCAACTCTGTGGCGCCGTCCGCTCGGGACCCGGGCCGGGCTGCGCCGCCGCTGCCGCTCCGCGCTTCACAAAAAGTTGAACGGGGCGGGAGGCGGCGGCCCGGGCGCGTCCCCTCCCCTCCGATCCG